CTCCACCATCCTACAGTATGTAGATGACCTAGTTCTTTGCTCTCCATCTCTCTCAGTCTCCAAGGCCCACACAAACAAACTCCTTAATTTTCTGGGGGATAAGGGATATAGGGTATCTTCAGCTAAGGCACAGCTTTCTCTCCTTCAAGTCAAGTACTTGGGGCTCCTTCTCACACCTACATCCCACCATTTAATTATAAATAGGACAAATTACCTAAGGTCTTTAAAGTCCCCCACAACCAAGGAGGAAATTCTGTCTTTCCTAGACATTGCAGGGTACCATCTGCTCACCTGGATTCCTTACTTTGCTCTCTTGGCAAAGCCTCTCTATGAAGCCTCCAAAGGGAGCTCCCCTAACCCACTGAGCCCTTAGGACCCATTAAAGTAGCCTTCCACACTATCCAGAAAGCACTCTTAAAGTCACCAGCTCTATCTCTCCCCAACCTAAAATGTCCATTCCTCCTCTATACAACTGAGAATAAGGTCCAGGCATTAGGGGTTTTGAGACAGATGAGGGGTCCCACTTTTGCCCTGGTAGTTTATCTCTCTAAACAGCTTGATATCACCATCCAGGGGTGGCAACCTTGTCTCCATGCTCTGGCTGCTGCTGCTCTCCTGGCTCAGGAGGACTGAAGCTCACTTTGGGTCAGCCCATCTCCATCCTTTCCCCCCCATCAGCTTAAGGATTTACTAACCCACATGTCTCTTGACAATCTAGCTCCCTCTAAACTGCAACTCTTCCATGTCGTGTTTTTGAAAACCCCTCGCTCTCCCTTGATTCCTGCCCTCCTCTCAATCCAGCTTCCCTCCTCCCTTCCAGCGAACTGCTCACTCACTCGTACTTGGAAACTCTTCAGGAACTCTCCTACCAGGATCCCCTAATTTCCCCAGATCCCTACCCAACCCTAACTTGGGTTATGGATAGAAGTTTAACTCTCACCCCAATGGGGTTCCACAGGGCGAGATATGCCATAGTGTTTCTCGCTATTGTCATCAAGTCAGGATCCCTACCACTTGGAACCACATCACAAAAGCCAAACTTGTGACACTCACCAAGGCCCTAATTTTAGCCAAGGACAATCTCTTCCTTTAGCATCTCCTCTACATGACTATTTACCTGCCTTCACCCTTCTAAGGAAACTACTCGGGGAACATGCTGACCGGATTATTCCCCAGGCTTCTAAAGGCCAAACTGACCACTCACTTCAACATGGAGATCATGCCTACCTGCAGGTTCACACTCACAGAAAGGAGTGAAGGAAACCCTCCAGCCATGTTGGGCTGGTCCTCACCTAGTGATCCTGTCTACCCCGACAGCAGCCAAGTTCTCGGGACAACCTGGTTGGATTCATCTCTCCAAACTGAAACCGGCCAAGGAACACAGCAAGTACTAGGCCACCATTATCAGGTCTCTTAAATTAAAAATCTCGAGGACCCCTCCCTTAACACCAATCCAGGAATGAATTTTCTACTGACCCTATTCCTATTCTTCCCTCTAAACCCCACTTCAGCCAGTCCCCACTGTACCTACCCACTGTGTTTCTATAAATTTGAAATGAGACAAAGATAATATATCAATAATTACAAAGTTTCTAAGGTGGTAGTTTAGTCAACTAGTCTAAGGATGTCTAATCAAAGTTTATTTAAGGATGTTGCCCAAGCTCTATCTACATGGCACATGGTAATTAAAAGTACCAGACTGGTATAACTAACCTTGTTGGATATTTAATAGCCAGACTTTAAGGCTATTAATCTGGTCAGAGGGACTTAAAGGGACAAATTTTTGTTCCTTGCCCTCCAAGGTCAAACAAGTTCCAGAGGGCTATGGAGCATCTCTCGAAATGTCCTGTAACTTTGGTGAGTCACCTGTCCTCTTGTTCAGGGAGGCCATGGAGACCCCAGAAGATGGACTTGAACCAGTGTCCAGTCTGCAAAGAGGAGAGTCAACACAGAGGAAACATTTCCTCCATGCTTCCAAGCAAAGCCCCAGTCAAGCAGGACCTCTTATCTTTACATAGATGGAACTGGTAAAAGAAAAGCCTGAGGAGCCAGGGGCTCCCCCAAGCCCATGTGATCTCTGAGGACCAAATCCTCATACGACCTTAAGAGTAAAAATAAATTGGTTCATTTGGGCCAACAGTATGGTCTTAAACACCCAAAAGGAAAGTATAACCAAAAATTAAAGTCATCGGTATATTTTAAGAGTTCAAGGGATTAAGAACTTAAGTTCTTATGTTATTTAGACAATTACCTCTCATTGATGATTTTATTCCTAATAAGACAATACTACTCAGATGTAGGACTTCAAATCTTGGTCTGCAATACTGTAGTACCTATCTACAGCTAAGGGAGACAACCAATTATTGTTCTAGCTTAAAAAATTAAATGATGGCTAAATTTTTTTTTCTCTCCCTATCTAGAAGCCTTTGAGAGGTAACTGACACTGATTCTAGCCACTCCAACAGCTATCAAAATGCCTGAAAACAAATCCTGAGTCCATAACTCTCAAGTCCAGCCTTGGCAGAAGGAAAAAAAAAAAAAAAAAAAAAGAGTATTGGTGCTAACCATCGCTCTTTGCCTCTTCAGATATTTTCAGGACCAAAATCCAAAAACTAACTCTTACTCTCATACTAATTTTAATCAGTTGTTACTTTCATTCCCTCCACATGTATATGAGCACCTGTCAACCACTGAAGACTCTGTTGAGATGCACAAAGAGGGATCCCCCGCTGTCTGACAGACCCCCTAGTCCAGTCCCCCCATGTCAACCTTGTCCAGCAGGAAGTAGCAAGAGGACAACGGTGCCTCCTATCCTATAACACAAAAGGCTGGAATGTTAGGGTTCAGATCCACAGCAGCCCTGCCCCCTTACCTACAGGGCTTCATGGGTTCTACAAGCCCCTGAGATAAGCACCCTGGTCTTTGAAGATAAAAGCAGACTTTTCACCAGTTTGGTCAGCACAGCAGGCTTCCCCTTTGATCTCAAAAGGGAGGCAGGTTTTAACAGTCCCGCTCTCCCCCTCCCCCTAACCTTTAAAAATATATCTTCCCACCTTCTACACCCCCTGAAGCTTTTCCCTATAAAAGACCCCAGCTCACGACCCGTGGATGGACATTTTTTCGCTCCCCCAAAGTGGTGAGAAGTAAAACTCTATTCCTCTGGAGTTTTATCTGTGTCCTGGTGCTTTCTCCCAATCAACCCAAATCATCCATCAGCTACTTCATCTATCATAACCTAGTTCAAGCTCTGATGGACTGAGTAATCCATTTTCCTTCATTGCAGAAGGTAAACATTCCACTGGGAAATAGCATAAGTCTGTATAGTTATTCTACATATAATATATGGTGTATAATTTTAAAATTATTAGAGGAAGAGAAAAGAAAAATCATAGGACTGAAAACTAGGAAGAAAACCAGCTGAGCTTGCTAGGCACAATGATAATTGCTTGAAATCCCAGCACATGGGAGGTGGGGGTAGGAAGATCAGTTCAGTCATCCTTGGATACATAACAAGGGCAGCCTGGGCTACATAAGACCCTGTCTCAAAAAAAGCAAATAAAAACAAACACAAAGCAACCAAACAAACACAAAAAGTAGCTGAGGTCCTTGGAAGGTTTTTTTGTGTGTGTCTTTTTGAGACAGGGTCTCCCTCTAGCCCCAGCTGTCATGGAACTCACTATGTAGACCAGGCTGGCCTTGAACTCACAAAGATCTGCCTGCCTCTGCCTCCCAAGTGCTGAGAGTTTTTTATGTATTCATGATAAGACCAATTATTTCACACAAGGGCATCTGGCAATTTAAAGGGCTCAGCCCCTACCTTAGCATTAGAGACCACTGAGAGTTGTATATTTAAATGCCTTTGCAATGCAGCAACCCACATAAACAGGCCTCAGGCCTGATCATCAGCCATGTCTATCTTGGATCTATAAAAGATAAGAGAACCCTTGAAGGCTACCATAAAATCTTTCCTTTTATTCTCTTCCATTCCATACTTCACCTGGAGAGTTCAGATACCTGACCTGGAGAGTTTCAGCACAGTGGCTCTGCTGACTTTCAAGCAAAGAGCACAAAGCAGCAGCTGTGAGTGATCATAACCATCCACCAAAATCTCTCAAACCTTCAGTGACACTTCAGGCCTTGCTTCCCTGCCCTCTGTTCTCCTACTACTCCCTAACGCTGACTACCCTTACTGCAAGGTACATAACCTAGGCCCTACTCCTTAGAGGTCAACCTCAGCTTCCAGAGCCACGGTGCATGAAGAGAAAGAAGAAAAGCATGACTAGTGCAGGAACAGTGACCATGGAGAACATTCCACGCATCTTTTCTCAGAAAGTTCCCGAAGAAAGTGATCCTAGTATTAGGGATAAGCAAACAAGAGGAAGGGAAGAGTCAGAGAGGGTGGAATTAGAATATGAGGGACATAAAGGGAGTAATCACGAGGTTGATGATGATGATGGGAGAAGAGGAAGAAGAGGAGAATAAAGAGGTTCTAAGACACACGTTCACAAGAATCTTAGCATTAAGTTAATTCTAAAGTAAGAGGACAGAATATGAGAAAAAAAATTACTGAGCAACAACCCAAACTAAAAATAAGCTGTAGGGAGCATTAGGCTTTAAGAGAAGGTCTAAGGGTAAACACTGATAAGTACATAGAAATCAAGAAACAAAACTTTAGGTACAATCATACCTCACTTAATGACGGATACATTCTGAGACATGCACTGTGGGTGATTGGATTGTGAGAACATCAGCATATACTTGCACAAAATAAGATAGCAACACAATCTAATCCTATTGCCTATTCTATTACATTAGGAAATTTAAGAAAATAAATCATCTCCATGTTTTTCTTAGGTAAAATCTAGTATTTTGCTTTTAGGTTTAAAATTCTTATATTACTAAGATTTAGTGGAAATAAGTGACCATTCAGTTATAAAGAGAAAACAGTAAAATGTAAAATACAACTGAAAAAGAATTAAATATTTTAAAAACTAACTTACTCGTATGAAATCCGTAAGTGTGTTATAAATGAAGGCTCCTCTGGGGAGAAAAAAACAGCTTCCAGGACTCAGATCATGGAAAAAGAAAAGTTCTTGTTCCTAGATTGAAACAATAATTGCATTTCAAAATTTATCTTTTGTTTAATATTTATCACATAATGTCACATAAATAAAAGATGCCATTTACTAGGCATTCCAAAGCCACTCAATATCTACTCAGATATAATGTATATTACATAATAGCACATATAAAATTAATTTATATTTATGATTACTAAGTTTTGAATTTGGGTTTTCTGTCATCTTTTGTTATTTACTATTAATATTCTTAGTATAAATTAGTTATCTAATTTTCTAGCTGTTCCTGGCACATTTAGAACATAGACCTCATGTGGAGACAACACAGCAAGAAAGACCATAAAAGTCCAGGAAGAGGGAGGGCTTCAAGTGATGGTGACCATTCTCATGGAGTCACCTGAGAGCCTGCCCTGTGCCACACAGTCACGGTGTGTCTCCTCATATCAGTCCTGGACACCTACCCCTTAACAGAGATGACAGCAGGAGTTTTATAGGTAAGTACTTTACCTATCACATAACATAGATCAATCCTGGCAGGACTGAGATTTTTAAAACATAGGTCCACCTACTTTCAAATCTCATTCTTTATTTCTACATACTGTTGCCTCCTAAATACAAAGAACATCATCAAGTGCAAGCAACTTTAAAAGTAGCTTATTTTATATCATGATAAGTTCTAACAAAAGATACACAAAGGGAAGCAGTCAGCAGACATTTGGAGTCTGGGTATGAAAGAACTCAACAGCAGGCAATGATTGTCAACAAAAGCAATGCAAGAGAAAAAAAGAAATGCTAGTTTTTAAATTTTGTTTTGTGAAATGTAACCATAGGGCAACAAAGATGTCTGGTGAGGACATGAGGCACACCTTCCCAATTTTCCTGTGGTCCCGGTTCTTGGCTTCATCTTGGATCTTCTCCCAGGTTTTCATCATTTTGCTATCTGGGAAAGATATCCCATAGATCCTCTGCAGTGTTTCCATGTCAGAATTGCCTTCCCAGTATGTTGAGGAATTCTAAACATCAACAAGAGGTTGTTAATCAGGAACATCACTCTTCAATGTGTATGCAACTTTCCATTATAACATCTATATCATTTATAGATTTTTTGTAGTGCTTGTAAAAATTTGAAATTGATTCTACTAAAAAACTTTCTACTCCAAATTATAGCAATAATCAGTAAGTTGTATAAATTCCAGGAATGAAAGTGAGAAGGAGTGGAAAGGAGGGAAGGTTGGAGAGTAGCTGTGATTACCAAGCCAAAACCAGACCAATCAAGAAATTTGTGGAAGTGTCAGCCCACTGATCTAAGGCTGAGGGTGAAGAGCATCGATAGGCAATAGTGTCATTCAGACCCACATCTCACACATTGAAAACCAAGGTCCAGAAAGGTGGGGGCTACAGAGTCAGTCTATGCCTCACAATTCTCAGAGCCACATTCATATTCTTTGTTTTTTCTTTTTCCTATTGTATGTTAACCTTACATGCAGAAGAACATTCTTGCTCTCATTAGGCAATTCGAGAAAAATCATAGTACAGTTGTCCCTTGATGTCTGCATTAGTTCTGGGACTTGCACAGACACTCAAGTCTCTTATATAAAGTGGTAAGTATTTGTATGTAAGCTGTGCAATCCTCCTGCATACTTTAAACCATCTATAGAGTATCTACTGTAAAATAAATGCTATGTATGTATCTGTTACAGTGTACTGTTCGGGAAATAATGACCCCCCCCCCATACACACACATCTATACATGCTCAGGATAGACACAATCTGCTTTTAAAATATTTTCATCTGGAAGTTAGTTAAATCCATGGAGAGAAAACCTATGAATACAGGTCAGGGGAAGGGGAAGAGCCTAGATAAGGAACCATATAAAAACATACATTGTAACTATCCTCAGGCCTCTTGGGGTAAGTCTATAGCGCAGCTCTCCACGCGGGGACTCCCTAACCCACATTCACCCTTTCATCCCTCCCGCCGTTCTATACTCCTAGTTTGGGCCCTGTGCCATTCCTAGTCTTGGGGCCCCAGACACCTGGAGAACCAATACTGTTTCCTGATCCTTCTCACCCAGAGCAACTCAGTCCCTTTCTTGGGCTCCAGGAGCACCGCTTCTGGTCCTGGCCCCGCCCTCACCTCTATCTGCTTCCCTGGGCCTGCACACCGGCTAACTCTCCAATTAGAAACGACAGTAGAAAGCCTCACCAATAGGATGAACGAAATGGAAAACAGAGTATCAAGATTGGAAGATAAAGTGGATGAACTGGACCACTCAAGCAAAGATTATGAAAAATTTAAGAAATCACAAGAATGGAATATGCAGGAATTGAGTGATACCATAAAAAGACCAAACTTGCGAATCATAGG